AAATTGAAAAATAACTCATGTTCATTGTAGAAACTATAGAAAGGTAAGATAAACAAAGGGAAAAAAATAAAATCCACCCAGAATCCTAGTACTCAGAGATCATCACTCTTAGCATTTTGGTGCACAATCCTTCTGGTCATTTCTCAGTCTCTCTCTATATAGATAGATAGATGATAGATAGATGATAGATAGATGTGAGATAATTTTCAAAATTACTTTATAATATTTATTTATTTATTTATTTATTTGAGAGAGAGGGAGAGATCTTCCATCTACTGGTTCACACTCCTAATGACTACAACAATCAGGGGCTGGGTCAGGCTGAAGCCAGGAGCCAGGAACTCCAACCGGGTCTCCCACATGGGTGGCCGTGGCCCCAAGCACTTGGGCCATCTGCTGCTGCCTTCCCAGGTGCACTAGCAGGGAGCTGGATCAAGGGTGGAGCAGCCAGGACTCTGGGATGCTGGGGTCACAAGGAGCAGCTCAGCCTGCTTCACCACAACACCAGCCCCCAATATAACTTTTAACAGGGTTGAAATAGCCAGGCTGTTTTGCAATCAGGACAGATTGATTCTGTGGACTAAAATTTATTTAATCAATCCCTTATATTTAGATGTTTTCCAATACTAATCAAATTACTCTCCAGTTTTGATGGTTCTAGTTATAAGTGAAGCTAAAAGGTGCTTGCCTTTAGGAAGTAAGTGTTTATTTTTCTCCAGTTGACAAAGAGGAATGAAACCTGAGACAGGAAGTAGGCACTGTGTGTAGCAGAACACAAGCAAGTCTGTAGCAGGTGCACCAGCACAGGGCAGAGCAGAGGCACACGGTGACCGGACCTGGGCTCACTCAGTCTCTGCCACGCATCCACTCTCCTCCAAGAGCCTGGGGTCCCTGCAAGGCCCCGCACTGCCCCATCACAGAGTGCTCATCATCCTCACACAGTCATGGCCAGAAGGCGATGCCCACGTCCACCGCCCACGCTCACCAGCAACCGTGCAAGCACAGAGAGTCGGTTCCTTCATGTGTCTGGGATGCACAGGGAAGACGGGACCTGAAGTCAGTCACTGCCTCAGGGACCCTGAACCCTGAACAAGTGCCACGAGGATCACAGGGCCACACGGAGGTTCACATGGGCAAGGGCAGCAGTGCCATGTCACTGGAGCTGTCACCCTCCAATCTGCTCCTGCTAAGAACTAGTTTCTTGGCTTCCTGAGTCCCAAGCTACCAGTGCTCCTCACATCCCTGCTACCTTGCCGGGGCCAGGCATTATCAAGGGCTGTGCAGAGGCTGAGAAGTTCCCTGATCTGCCACCTGCAAGCTGAAGACCCAAGACAGCCACTGGTGTCAGCTCCAGGCTGAGTCCAAAGGCAGGAGAACCAGGAGCTCCAGCACGAGTTGGGTCCAAGGACAGGAGGAGACCAGCGCCACAGCTCCAGGAGCGAGAGCCAATTCACCCTTCCTCCACCTTTCAGTTCCGCTCGGGCCCCTTGATGGATTGAGTGAATCCCACCCACCCTGAGCAGAGTGATTGGCTTGGCTAATTCCACCAACTTGAATGCAAATCTCTTCTGGGAACATCCTCACAGACACAGCCAGAAATAATGTTTAACCCAATCTCTGGCCCTCCCATGGTCAGTCAAGTGGGTGCATGAAAATACTCACCACAATTAGTTCCTGAGTTGGTTCTGTTGTATGCAGATGAGAATCCTAACTAAAATCTACTTCCTCCCCCTCTACGCAGTCATCCTTCAAGGCTCAGGCTAAATGTCACCTCCTCTCTGAAGCCCTCCCCAGGCCCTCTAAAAATAATCAATATGATCTTTCTGCATCACTGTCACAGCCCTTTGCTTGTAGCTCTTACAGCACTTATTTTATCTTGTCTGGTACAGTAAGTTATTTTTAACATGACACAAAGCTAGAACCGTGCCTTATATCATGAATCACAGGAGCTAATTAAATAAATGGAAAATAAATGAACATGCATATAATTGAGAATAGCTATACTTCCTGTTCAAGCATCAAGAGCTCACCCAGCATTAACAGGAATACTGAATGTGGGTTGGTATTTAGTGGAACCGAAAAGTCACGGCGTCTCCATCTTCTGCAGACGTGAGCACAGCATTCCTGGTCAGAAAAGCAGGAAAGTGCAACTGCCCGTGTTTCCCAGGGCTTTCCATTTGCAGCCCTCATTGCTGCTGTGCCTGGCTATTGTTAGACCCTAACTGTTTCTCAGGTCCCTCTGTGATTCTAAATCAGGCATCACAAACCAGCCACCCTGAGGCCAAAGGCACGCTGTAGCTTGGTTTGACCCACACTGGTATTTTGTTTAAATGGACTTCGTGGCCAACATTTAAAATTCAGGAGATGTCACATAATATCCCAGCTCTCTGACTTCTCTTGAAAACTCAGAAGATCTGGCACCAGCAGGTTCAACCTCCCACAAGTCAGCAACGGCTGGAGCTAAGCGGTGGCTGCTCCCACCCTCTACTCACTTCGGATAGAACAGGAGCTCTTATACCAAGCACAGACCCCAGAAGGCCCTCTGAGCCCCCTGAAGACGTCACCCCTTGGTCTCTGCTGACTCAGGTTGATCACCAAGGGCAGAAGGGCGTCTGGATGGGTGACACTAAAGGATACAGTTCTTCCTTTGAGCCCAGGGGCTTCCACAGTACCATAGTCATAACAGGTGTATTTAGAGGACTTTGCAACACTACCCACTTCCCTCCACTCCCCTCTCCCCTACCCCTGGAGTATTCACCTCCATCTGCAAAACTAAGGCCAACTTCCGCTCACTTCCTCATCCCCCAGAAGCACCAGTTCGCCCGTCCTAAGGCCACAGAGGGGAATGCTGGCACCGGTACTCCCCAAAGCCCAAGACGGAGCCAGGGCCAAGGCCAGGCCTTTCCATCCTGCCTCATTGTGACAGAAAGCCACAGCCCAGTGGGAGAGAATTAACATTCCCAAGCTTTTTGTTTTGTTTTGTTTTTTTAAATATGTGTTTATTCGCTGGAGAGGCAGAGCTACAGATAGAGAAGGAGAGGCAGAGAGAGAGAGAGAGAGAGAGAGAGAGAGAGAGGTCTTCCATCTGTCGGTTCACTCACTCAATTGTGATGGCTGGAGCTGCGCTGATCTGAAGCCAGCAACTAGGACCTTCTACTGGGTCTCCCATGCAGGTGCCAGGGCCCAAGCACTTGGGCCATCTTCTACTGCTTTCCCAGGTCTTTAGCAGGGAGCTGGATCAGAAGTAAGCAGCCCGAGACTTGAACCACCACCTATATGGGATGCTGGTTGCTGCAGATGGAGGCTTAGCCTACTATGCCACAGCAACAGCCCCTATTCCCAAGTTTATAATGAAGAAAGTGTAGCCCACAGAGGTGACATGAGTTGCCCAAGGCCACACAGCTTAAAGGTGGCTCATGTGGAGCTCACACCCGGATGTCTGGTCCCAAGCCCACTGCTCTGCCTACTGCTTGGAGACAGCTAGGGCTCAACCAGGCTGGGGAGGGGTCCGGCAGAGAGGCCATCTTCAATTCCTTGGCCTTTCAGGCCACATGGGAGCATCTCCTCATTGGTCTGGCTGACACAGTGGGCATGCGGGCTGGTGGCTCAAGAGCAGTAGGGGTGGGAAGATGGGCCAGCCTCTCCCTGGTGGCCCAGTGAACGGCCCGGGCACTCTCAAGTGGCTCAGCCCCAGGCCAGGCTGCACCCAGGGAAGAAGAGTTTGACTCCCTGTCATGCTCTTGCCAGGAGCGGGAGAGGAGAAATGGATGGAACCCTGGTCTGGGGGCCTCTTTGTGAGAGGCAAAGGATCTGGGTGCAGCCAGAGCCCACTTCCTCTCCCTCTGGCCAGACCCCACCATAGCATCCATCAACCTGACTACTCTGCCCCAGGCCCTGTCCCCGCCTTCCTTCCCTCAGCCTGAGCCGCACCACTGCAGCTGCCTCCTGAACCCCCCGCCCCCCGCACCAGGCTTGAGCTCCCGCAGCCCATTCTCCACCCAGCAGCCAGAGCATGCTTGCTGATCCATAGCGCAGAGTCCCATGCACACTTGCACACTCCAGGTACAAGGGGAGCCCTTTCGCTGTCCCATGAGCCCCACCCCACTGCTCCCCACCTTGGGGTCCCCTCACTCCCCTGTTCCTCCACCTGGAACTCTTCCACCCACTCTCGAGGGGCTGCTTCTCCTGTCACCCAGGGCCCAGCTCAGATGCCACCCCCTCGGGTGCCCTTTTCTGACCCTTGGTCTATAGAGGAGTTCACCCCCAGAGCTGCCAGTCACACCACCCAATTTTCTTTTCTCTGCAGACCTAACGTGACCTGAAGTTCTCGTATTTAAGTCCTTGCCCTCTTGGCTATCGAGGGCATCCTCCTGCTACACAGCAGGTCCCAGAGAGCTCAGCCGGTGCCCGTCCTGTCCAGTTGTTCTCTGGGGTCCATCCAGAGAGCTCAGCCGGTGCCCGTCCTGTCCAGTTCTCTGCTGGAGCGGAGCAGTTTTGTGAAGGGGTCTTCATGCAGCTTGCAGAAACGCACATTATGAAAAGCACTCCACACTGCATGGATTTCAGATGTTTTTGACACCAAAATAAAGCTATCTTTTAATTCCACAAGCTCTTTGAAGTTCCCTTGCATGCAATAAATAGTTGTTAAATGAACTAACCAATGACCTAGGTGAGATGATAAGGACATAAATTATGGTCATTGAACAAGAGTGAAATGGAGGGGCCGACACTGTGGCACAGTGGGCTAAACCTCCACCTGCAATGCTGGCATCCCATATGGGCGCCAGTTCAAATCCCAGCTGCTCCAATTCCAATCCAGCTCCCTGCTAAGGGCTGGGAAGTCAGCAGAAGACGTGAGAGATGGGGATGGATGTCCAGGCTCCTGGCTTTGGCCTGGCCTACCCCTGGCCATTATGGCCATTTGGGGAGCAAATCAGCAGATGCAAGATTGCTCTGCGTGTGTGTGTGTGTGTGTGTGTGTGTGTGCGTTCCTCTCTCTCTCTCTCTCTCTCTCTGTAACTTTCAAATGAATAAATAATTTTTTTTTAAAAAAGTGTGAAACGGAGAAAATAAATGTGAAATATTTAAGAACCAGGATCAGCAGATCCTGCTAGACAGGTGATGAGTCAGCAGAAGCCCTGGGCTTGAGCAGCTTGGTGACTGATGAAAATTCATCAATACTGGTCATTTAGGGGAGGGGCTACGTGAGCCCAGTGCTGGGAACTTGGTTTTGAAGCTCCTGAGGGGCTCGCAGGTGAGTCCGGTCGTTAGTGCATTTTGGAGTCCAGGCAGGGAATGTAGGTGGCTGCTGGAGATTTGGGGACAAGGTGGAAGAGTGAGTGTAAGTGGGTGGAGGTGTGGCCTCATCCTCAATGGGATAAGACGAGGGCCATGGGTGCCCAAAATGTAACAGAAAGCACAAAACAGAACCAGAAAAATGGCGCTGAGAAGGTGAGTGTGGCGAGGGAGGAGAACAGGTGAGGAGAAGCGGGGGGCTGCCAGTGTCGACGGCAGGAGAGACCCTGGAGACTCAGACCAGCAAGCACTGCCCTGCAACTTGGGGATCTTCGGGGGCCTCCTCAGAGCAGCCTCGGAAAGGGGGTCTGGATGGGCCCCAGATGGCAGTGTGGTGAGCTATGGATGCGACATTTCCTATTGCGACTACTTGCCCCTGCCACTATGGAGACAGCAACAGGGTAGAACCTCGTTCCACCCCGTGCTTGACCGTGGATCAGAGGCCAAAGACAGGGTAAGCCAGGAAGGCCAAGGGTCGAGGAATGGTTTCTCTTTCACTGGGGAAGACCAGCAGATGTGTAGCCCAGACCCTGGCTGCATGTGAGTCTCCATGGGTGGTCTTTTCTCCCAGGGGACAGCTAACGACCACGCAGGTCCCGAAAGGTGGCCCAAAGCAAGAAGCCTCAAGCCAGGGAGCAAATCCCTCCACCAACATGAGAAGGTGAAAAAGAAAAGTACAGGCTGATGTCACAGACTCTCCGGCCTCAGAGTCTCGCTGGGGTGGAAGACGGGGGGCGGGGGGAGTGGTAGGCTCTGCTTCCACAGTCTTTGCATCCCCCAGCTTAACTCTAATAAGGAGAAGCTGAGCAGAACCCTTGGACCCCAGTGACAGAAAGGGCCAGGGCCTGGAACTGATGCTGTCTGCATTTCTACTTCCACTCTACCACCGACCACCGACTACACGGCGGCTACTTTCGCCTTGGTGTCCCCATATGTACTTTGGGGACATTGACCCAGACCTTCTCTGAGAAGCCACCACCTCTGACACTATGGCTGCAGCCAGTCTGCCTGGGTCTAAGTTCCTGCTCTGTGGCACTGGGTGTGTTCCCTAACTTGTCCGTGCCTCGGTTTCTTCATGTTTGCAACAGAACTAATAACAGCCTTGTCTCATAATGTAGTTCTAAAGATATGAAAATTAATATATTTATATATATATATATATGTCACCCTTAATATGCTATGTGTCACCCTTAATAAGATACAGATAGCAAATTGCCGAGCACCCGAGACCCCCTGAGAACACCATGCAAGGGTGGGCTACATTGCTATGGTGGGATCCGCTCTGTGCAGGGAGATCCTCCCAAGTGAGTGGGTGCATGAGCCACTTCTCAGTGCTACAACAAAACGCCCAAGGCAACCACCTTCATAAATACAAAAGATTTATTTAGCTCACAGTTTTGGAGGTTCAGGTCCAAGCTGGGACAGCCTGCACTGCTGGGCCTCTGGCGAGGGTGGTGGACGACACAGGCGAGGCGCAGAGAAGGCTCCACGACGAGCCAGGCAGCAGAGAGCAAGGCGGGGCCCGCTCAGGCTTCCCCCAACCTTCCCTGGGCGCGCCCCAGGCACCGAGGGCCTGCCCACCAGGCCTAACCACATCAACTGCATTTCTTCTCTGCTCTTAGCACCATCAACTTCTGGCCTTCAGGTTTTACTCTCTGCGTGAATTTGGGAGCCGGCTCTTATCCAGGCCATTGTAGTGGGTGACACATGCTGGACTCTGAGAGAGAAAATTCTAGAATAGGGGTCCACAAACTTTGCTGCAGAGGACCAAGAGAGTAGAGATTTCGGGCATCGGGGGCCGTTTGTTTCCTACTGTGACTGCTTGCCCCTGCCACGGTGGCAGAAACCATTCACAGACGACACGCCATGCCCACAAAGGGTGTGACTGTCTTCCCGGAACTGACTATGCACAGAGGCCGGTGTTTGTGGCCTAGCAGTTAGGGCGCTGCCTGTGACATTGGCATCCTATATGAGCACTGGTTTGAGTCCCAGCTGCTCCACTTCCAATCCCTGCTAATGAGCCTGGGAAAGCAGCAGAAGATGGCCCAAGTGCTTGGGTCCCTGCACATATGTAGGAGACCCAGATGAAGCTTATGGCTTCTGGCTTCAGCCTGGACCATTCCTGGCTGCTGGTTGCAGACATTTGGAGAGTGAACCAGGGGATAGGAGATCTCTCTCTCTCTCTCTCTCTCTCTCTCTTTTGCTGTAACTCTGCCTTTCAAATAAATAAATAAATCATTTTTAAAGATTTATTTTTATTTTTTACTTGAAAGTCACGTTAAACAGAGAGAGAGGGAGAGGCAGAGAGAGAGAGAGAGGTCTTCCATCTGTTGGTTCACTCCCCAGATGGCCGCAACGGCTGGAGCTGCACCAATCCGAAGCCAGGAGCCAGGAGCTTCTTCCAGGTCTCCCACATGGGTGCAGGGGCTCAAGGACTTGGGCCATCTTCTACTGCTTCCCCAGGCCGTAGCAGAGAACTGGATCAGAAGTGGAGTAGCCAGGTTTTGAACCAGCACCCATATGGGATGCCAACACTGCAGGCAGTGGCTTTACCCACTATATGACAGTGCCGGCCCCAATAAATAAATCTTAAAAGAAAATTATTTACAAAACAGGCAGTCGGCTGGGTTGGGCCCATGGGACACAGTTTGCAGACCTCTGTTCTAGAACAAAAGTCCTTGACAAGAGGGGTGGTGAGTTTTCCTCTCTGTAGGTAGAACTAAGAAACCCCAAGCACCCAGATCCAGGCCAGAGGTCAAACCACTCTGACTGCAAACTCACTAAGAAAGAGAAGCTCCCAACTCACAGAACAAGCAAATAATAAACGAGTTTTGAAAATAATTAAAATTGAAAATTGATTGTCTGGGCCAGAGCAGATTTATGCAAAGGGCCCCGGCTCCACTGGGAGTGGAAGGAAGGTTTCTAAGCTCTGTGTTGAACAAGCTAAGCATTTTTTCAGATTATTCCCAGCATAATATGCCAAAGGGAATAGGCTCCATTTATTATTTCCTTAAAAAAATCAATGAGCTGAAACATTCCCTCTAGACCTATAATATTTATTTCAATGTTCTGTCAATAAATATAACAAGGTTAGCTTTCTATCAGTTTAGTTGGAAGAATCATTTGAGGGAAGTTCTATTTGTTAAGCTCGATTACAGAAAACAATCAATAGGGCAAAATTCCCTGGTCACTACAGGCAAGAAATATGGCGCTCAGAGGAGCCATCCCAGGAAGGAAATTGATGCCACTGCCCCGTAACCCCTCCCTCCTGCCCTCAGAGTAGGAGGCATGGGGGCAACCTTGAGTGATGGAGTGTCCGGCCGGAGCGACTCTCCTCTGGGACTGGTGGGGAAACTGCGGCCCAGAGAGAGACAGAGAATAACTGGGGTCACTCAAAGTCATAGAGCAACAGAGAACTAAACCGGAGTTCTGACGTCAGACCTCCTCCAGGTCTTGATCTATTCGGATGACTTGGGTTGGACTGCGGAATACAAAGACCCATGCTAAAGGGATGGCTTTTCTCTTTGATTTGAAATCAGCTTCTGTCGGAGAGGGCCTTTGAGACAATAAATCTCAGTGGGATGGACTTGGAAGGGTGTTGAAAGGATGGGACAAAAATACACCTTCTATGGACTGGGGACTCGGAGACTTGGGGAGAATGTTTCAGTATTTTAGCCTCACCCTGCAAAACACACACACACACACACACACACACACACACACCTCCCTGGCTGAGTTGGCAGGTGTATCCTCTCTCCTACAACTTGAGTTGCACCTTTTGGCACTGCTGCTGGCCTAAGCCAGATGAACCAACTCAACCAAACCTAAGCCTTCCATGAGATGAGCGCTGGGAAGTGTGGGATGTGAAGTCAGAAGACTTGGCCGGTTCTCATTCTTCTTAGCTCGATTATCATGTTCATTCTTAACTGTATCGTCATTTCCACCTCTGCAAACTTCTCTTTCCCATCTGTAAAATGGAATAATAATAAATGACACCTTACTCAGAGCATAGAAGCAGGACGAGGAGTGCCTAATATTGCTGGAAGGATTAAAAATAATTTGGCATTGATTATTGAATTATTACTATATTACTATTAGTATGTATGGATTAGTTTCTGCATGTCAAACACTGAGCTAAATGGGTTCATGCTTTATCACATTTAATTCTCAAAACAATCCTAGGCATTGTCTACTATGAGGTAGATGGCATAAAGATCTCCTTTTACAAATATGGAAACTGAGGCTTGGAGGTTAAATAACTTGCCAAGGTCACAAAGCTAGAAAAGGCGAAGATCTGAATCCAAGTTATGCAAACCCAGCGCCCATGCTTATAACTCCACAGTCAGAAAGGCTACAGGAGCGTCCCGACCCGAGGAGCCTGCCGTCCGCGCTCCACACCCGTCCCCAGTCACCACCTCCTGGGAAAATCCTGGTCCCAGGATGCTGTGGGCCTTCAGTTCTGACCGCAGAGTCCTCGTGACCTTGAACATCCCGAGGAGGCTTCGCTGAGCCAAGTGTTTACAGAGTCTCCCCCAAGATGCACTGCATGGCTAAGGGGACCTAAGTTCAGTTCCCTCAGTCCCTCGCTCACAGACTAAACTATCCCAACACCAAGGAACATCAACTCCCCGGAGCCGCTGCTGGGGTTGGACAGGGTGGGCAATTGAACAAGTATTGAACAACTGCTTACTGAATCCCCACCACACTGGGCAGTATTTTAGACACGAGAAACCCAAGCAGTCAGCAGCCTACGCGGCATTGCTCCCTGGATGCTCCTGGATGTATCCAAAATTGGGCTCAACATCCAGCACCCAAGGACCCAGGGAAGGCTCCTGGGACTCTTCAGGCTCTGTCCTCCTCCCACATTTCCCAGCCCGCATTCACTGAGCGCCTACAAAGTCCCAGGTGATCAGAGGCCAGGCCCTGGCCATTCTGTCACTACTCGAGCGTATGGCCTTTGCAGGAGCCTGGGAAACCCAGGCTTTAGGGAGAGTCTGGGACGCCACAGCCACCCAGGAGATCCGTGGAATGATAAGCATTGCGATCCCTGGGGCTGGCGCTGTGGTGCAGAGGGCCGTGACACAGCAAGTTGAGCACAGTGCTTGGCAATCCCATATCAGAGCACCGGTTCGAGTCCCAGCTGCTCTCCTTCCCATCCAGCTCCCTGCTAACCAACCTGGGAAGACAGCAGAGGATGGCCCAAGTACTCAGGCCCCTGCCAATCATGTGGGAGACCTGGATGGAGCTCCTGGCTCCTGGCTTTGGATGAACTCAGTCTCAGTCATTGCTGGCATTTGGGGAGTGAAATAATTGATGGGAAAAATCTCTCCCCCCTCACCTTGCCCCCGCCTCCCATCCCTATCCCTATCCCCTCTCTTTCTGTCACTCTCCCTTTCAAGTAAGCAAATAAATAAATCTTTAAAAATAGGCATGTAATTCAAATACGCTGAGCTTGACCAGCCCCTGAGCGTCCACCCAGTCACTCACTTCACTTGGGTAACTCGGGAGCAGGGCAGGAAATCGGTCTTTCAAACATTGTCTTTCACTCTCCTTCCTTGCCCCTCCCGTACCAAATATCTCTGGGACTCTTTTTTTTTTTTTTTTCTTTTTGACAGGCAGAGTGGACAGTGAGAGAGACAGACAGAGAGAAAGGTCTTCCTTTTGCTGTTGGTTCACCCTCCAATGGCTGCCGCAGCTGGCGCACCGCGCTGATCCGATGGCAGGAGCCAGGTGCTTCTCCTGGTCTCCCATGGGGTGCAGGGCCCAAGGACTTGGGCCATCCTCCACTGCACTCCCTGGCCACAGCAGTGAGCTGGCCTGGAAGAGGGGCAACCGGGACAGAATCCGGCGCCCCAACCGGGACTAGAATCCGGTGTGCCGGTGCCGCTAGGCAGAGGATTAGCCTAGTGAGCCGTGGCGCCGGCCCTCTGGGACTCTTAAAGGCACCATCATGCGCCCACCAACCAGTCCCAGCTCCCATCCACTGCAGGAGTGATCCCTACACACCATACCCTGGGGGCCCCAGAGTGTCACAGAGATGCCACACAGGGGGGCCTCAGTCAGAACCAGCAGCCGGCGTCCTGGCGGAAGAGAGGGCCAAGCCTGTCTACGGGGCTGAGCGGGAGAGGCCCCGCCGCAGGGCTCTGGAGCAGCACGGTGGATAAAGCGCCTGGGTTCACACGCACAGCCCTTTCCTCCCGGAACACGTCTGCCTGCAAGAGATCCAAGCAGGGCCTGGCCTGGAGCCACTGACCGGCCTCAGAGGGGACAGGCACACAGATGAGAGTGTGTGCGTGCACTGAGGCAGAGCGCTGAACAAACTGATCTGAAACCCATAAAGAAACTCTCATCTCATTGCTTCTGTCCCCAGAATATTGCCAATATTTCTCTCTCCGTCTCCACCGCCAGCATCATGCAAGTCCAAACCACCACCATCTTCTGCCTGGACTCTTGCAACTGTCTCCCAGCTGGGCTTCCCAGGTACCCTCCAGCCCCTCCAATCCGCTCTCCACACAGCCACCAGGGTCATCTTTTTTTTTTTTTTTAATTTTTTTATTTATTTGAAAGACAGAACTACAGAGAGAGGTAGAGACAGAGAGAGAGAGGTCCTCCATCCACTGGTTCACTTCCCAGATGGCCGCAACGGCTGGAGCTGCGCTGATCCGAAGCCAGGAGCTTCTTCTGTGTCTCCTACGTGGGTGCAGGGGCCCAAGGACTTGGGCCATCTTCTACTGCTTTCCCAGGCCATAGCAGAGAGCTGGATCAGAAGAGGAGCAGCCGGGACTAGAACCGGTTCCCATAGGGGATGCTGGTGCTTCAGGCCAGGGCTTTAACCCGCTGCGCCACAACACTGGCCCCCAGGGTCATCTTTTTTAAAGGCAAATCAGATCACACACCACCCTTGCTTACAACCCTTCAATGGATCCCAAGGTGATTAGGGCAAACATGAAACTCCTAGGACCTCGCTGTGTCCTCCCTGAAGCGGATGCTGAGACGCAGACTTGGGGTGGACCCAGGAGCACAAGCAGAGCAGGGGGTGAGGAAGTCCTACGCGTACTCCTCACTGTCCCCACTGTCGAGCCCCTCTCTCTTCATGGGGCCCGCCAGCATGCGGGACCCAAAGCAGCTAGGCAAGAATCTCTGCTGGAGGGTCGGTGGGATCCCTACTGTCTCCCCTGGTGGAAATGCCCCACCCCTGGGGAGAGAACTCTTAATCCCACAGAACCTTCGGCTGCTGAGACAGGAAGTGTGGTGCCCCCAAGCTGGTATTTGGAAATGGCAGTGAGGAAGCCCAGTCCCATTCTCACCCCTCGGGTCCTAGATGCATAAAGTCCAGCTGTTACGACACACACTGGCCAGCGCCTTGGCTCACTAGGCTAATCCTCCACCTGCGGCACCGGTACTCTGGGTTCTAGTCCCGGTCGGGGTGCCAGATTCTGTCCTGGTTGCTCCTCTTCCAGTCCAGCTCTCTGCTGTGGCCCAGGAAGGCAGTGGAGGATGGCCCAAGTGCTTGGGCCCTGCACCCGCATGGGAGACCAGGAGGAAGCATTGGCTCCTGGCTTTGGATCGACACAGCACGCCGGCCATAGCAACCATTTGGGGGATGAACCAACGAAAGGAAGACCTTTCTCTCTCTCTCTCTCTCTCTCTCTCTCTCTCTCTCTCTCACTGTCTAACTCTGTCAAAAAAAAAAAAAAAAAAAGAAAAAGACAAACACTGGACCTGACCTGGCATTTAGCCTCGCAGTAAAGATGCTCCCATCCTACATCGGAGTACCTAAATTTCATTCCTGACTCCAGCTTCCTTCTAATGCAGACCCTAGGAGGCAGCAGGTGATGGCTCAAAGTAACTGGGCTCCTGCCACCCATGTGAGAGATCTGGATTGCACTCCCAGTTCCTGGTTCAGCCCTAACTGCCGTGGACATTTGCGGAATGAACCGTAAATGAAACCACATTCTGTCTGTCTGTCTGTCTTTCTCTCTGTCTCTCTTCCTCTAAAATGATTTTTTTTAATTTTTATAAGACATAACACCATTTATTGGCCATTAGGAGGGCATACCTAAAAAATCTTTGCACCAAAGTTAACTTACCTATCTTTCCATTCCATTTTTTCAGGAACTGTTTGAAGTGACCTCATGTACCACATCCCGGAGAACAGAATCCCAGCCTTAGAGCTGCCACCTTCGCTGAGTTTTGAAGAGACCATTCCAACATTCTACCAGGCAGCAGCTTCTGAGTCACGTGGTGTATAATAGGACCAGCATCTCCCAGTGTCCACTGGGAGTCTCAATCCGAGAGGACGATGTGTGAGAGTCCACGTCACCAAGTCAAACACTCTGGAAGCTCAGCCAGTGAGTGCCAGCGTCAGCACCGTGGGCATGTCTGAATATTTGTCCGTCTCAGTAAGCACACTTCACTGTTGTCTTCAGGGACAGTTGTCCCAGATGGCTGGTCATTCCCTACCAGGACCAGCAGCACGCTGATGTTAGTCTCTGCTGCCCCGGGTCATACATCTGGGAGCTTCACTAGCTAGAGGGGGCCCGTGCTGTTCGGGCTGGGCATGGCTTCCATCCTGACCGCTGTGCTACTCTCTGGTCCACTGTGAATGCGTAAGACAACTGAGGACAGGGGCTGGCTGCTGGCCGATGGACAAGTCTTCCTGTTCTCTAGTTGTGTAAAGTCTTTTCTGTGCTGGCTGCAAAATGCAAAAATGTTGGGTTCATTCGCATAGAGCCCTTCATGCCCCCTCATCCTCGGACTTCCTAACTCTGCTCATTCAATTGTGTCCCTTGAAGGACCCTGACAGATTGATCAAGCTTTCATCATTGCCCAATAGTCTATGTATAAACTTGCCACAGACTCACCCCTTCATAAATAGGTAACCAAACTGCGCAGCTTAAAGTTCTACCCAGCGAAGATTTGTTCTCAACACTGTCCTCCAGGGTCACCAGCATACTGAACTGACCCAGCAGTGAAGCAGCCCAGGACTTTTCCTCCTCCATCAGCTGCTCTTGGGAGTCTCCTGACGGGGGACAGGTGTGAGCTCAGAAGACAGCATTGGCTCCACTAAGCCACCTGTGTATGTATTCACTGGCGCCTCTGGACCTGTTCAGCTCTAACCCAAATGTACGGTTTTCACCATATAGTGGGTTGTGCAGGCATCTACCCAGCCCTTACGACTCAGATGCAGCAATGCCCAGCTCAGGGGAGGCAGCTCTGGCCAGGCAGTCACCTGATGGCCTGTGGCCATGTGCTCAGTCTCTGCCGGAGCCCAGGAACACCGCAAAGCTGACTTTCAAGCATAGAGTGATTCTCTGTTGCAGAAGGCTGCTCCATAGTTCTAGGGGTTTTCCCGGTGGCTCTCCTAAACTCTACCGTGGATATCTCTAACACTACTGTATTTATGCAGGCCAAGAAGTCAGGAAAAGCACAGTGCAGTCCACACTGGACACTGAACTCCATTTTCAACCAGAACCCATTCGAAACCGGCAAGTTCCTGGGCCACTCAATGGAGGAACTACTCTCCCGAAGCTCCCAAGACCCACCAGGCACCGCACCTCCTGCTTAGTGATGGGAGATCCAAGGTGCAACCCCAGTGTGTGAGGCTCTGCATCTTCCTGGGATTTGTCTCCCTCCTCTTAACACAAACCTCTCTTGCTAGGGCATCCCAAAAATCGCCACTTCCTGTTCATTGGGTTCGATGAGAATCATGCCCTCAGTAGAGTGGACCAGCACGATGTTCTTGCAACATCAAGATAATCAAAGATCCTTTAGTCTACACTGCAACTGAGAGCAAGAAAATCAACATAGCCTTGGGGCAAGACAGTGAGTATGCATGCTGTCCTTCCCATGTGAATACAAACTGCTTCTAATCTTTCTTCCTGATGTGAATTGGAAAGATCAAATGCTGCATATCAAATGCTGGAGGCTATGTGGGTCTGTTGTAGTAGAGATGCCATACCCAGCACAGGCCCTGCGACGGGAGAGCACTGGTTTGGCGGCTCCTCTGTATTCTTCGTGGCCGAGCTGGACTTTCAGGGGCCCTCCCAGTAAACTGAATGGAAATGTGGTGGGGAGAAGCAGCCCCTGAATTCTTTACATCTTTATGACAGCACAGATTTCTACAGTGCCACCTAAGGTGTGGAATTGCTTTGGATATAATAGCCTGACTACTGAGTTAGAGGACAGTTTTAAAGGCCTCTTACCGTAATGGCCTGGAAACCAATGTGAAGGTTTGTGCAACTAACTATAGCCGTTCTCATTACACAAGGCTATTTCAAAAAGTTCATGGGAAAAATGGAGTTGAAAGATAAGTTTATTTGGGTACAAAAATATTTTGAAATCCATGCATATTTTTCCCATAGTATGTATTTCCATGAACTTTTTAAAGTATCGTCATATACTCAGAAAAATGCAGTCAGTATGTGGACCCATTGACCCCCCCCCCCATTACCCTGTCACCCCATCTCCCCACCACACTGTCTTGTCCAGTCGGCATTGCTATCACCGAATCTCACAGACCGGGCACTTTGTAAAGAAAAGAAATTTATTTTTCACAGTTCTGGAGGCTGTGAGGTCCACCATACAGATGTTGGCACCTGGTGGGGACCCTCGCTGCCTCCTTCCGCAATGGAAGGCAGGGGGACGCGAAGGTGAGACAAGGAAGGGGCACACTCGCAGCCTCAAGCCCTTTTATGCTTGGCGTTAACCCTCTTACGAGTGGGGAGCTCTCGTGACCTAAGCACCTCCCACCCTGCAGGGTCAGGTATTAAGTTTCCAATGCATGCTTTCTCAGGGGGACACATTCAAGCCACAGTATCCCCGGTGAGACAGCGTGAAACCAGGGCCCCCTTATCAGCTGGCCTCCACATGCCCCAATTCTAGTAATGGAGGCTAACATGGCATTTGGGTTCTTAGCGCAGGCTCTGTATCCAATAGCCCCCCCAAAATTGAATTGTTCTCTGTTTTCCAATGTACAGTTACTCTGCTAAATGGCAACAGGTCCTTTTGGGGGGGAACTGGGATTCTTGTTCCTCCGTGGGGTAGTGTTGTGAAGACTGCCCTCGGGTGGGTTTGGCTTCCTCTTCGATCCATGAACTATGAGCCTGGCAGGTGGCTCGTCTCAGGGAAACGAGTGGAGATTCCGGATTTCCTGTCTCAGAGGCAGCCGTAAGCCTGTGTCTTCTTGCTGAGCTACTCTTGATTGTGCTTGGTTTTACAAGTCAAGCAATACCTTGTTGGCTGCTCACACGTCTGGCTCCTAGGAACGTGGGCTGTGAACTGTGAGGACAGATCGCTGGGGGTCAAGGCCCCTACCTGCTGCTGCTGCTGCCGCTGCTGTTTCATATAGTAAACAAGCCCACCTCTCCTCTGTCGGTTACCTGCTGGCACCTAGCCTCTGTTGTCCAAAATCCCATCATTCCCGCTGTCACCAGGGAGCGGTTTTACCGCAGCGTCTCTTGTCATCAACCCTTGCCTACAGAAGAGGGCGCCACGGAGCACTTCAGGGGTGCTGTGGATCCCTGACTGTGCATTCTTTCTTCTCTAGTGAATGGGGTGGCCTCTGGAGCTTTGCAGAAAATTGAGACAGTAGGGGTCATAGATCACACACCACGCCTCTGACTCATTCCTCAATACTCATCCAAGGCAATCCCAGCAGCTCCATCAGATTGTCTGCAGGCCCAAGTTTCATGGTGCCCTCGCCAGGTAGTGAATCCTGACCCCAGTGAGCTACATCTCTATCTCGGCTTTTATTCCCACCCCTACCTCCACCCCCACCCAAACCTTGCCAGATCCACCTCTCTGTGTGGCCTCTCGGCTCCTGCTGGTCCATATTGGTGGTTCGTGCTGCTCTTTTGATGAATAAACGATTTCTTCCTTAGTCAGCGCATTTTCCTACTCAAGCTACACTCAGAACTGGTGCCAAGGGGGCTGGCGCTGTGGCTAAGCGGGTTAATGCCCTGGCCTGAAGCACCAGCATCCCATATGGATGCCAGTTCTAGTCCTGGCTGCTCCTCTTCCAATCCAGCTCTCTGCTATGACCTGGGAAAGCAGTAGAAGATGGCCCAAGTCCTTGGGCCCCTGCACCTGCATGGGAGACCTAGAAGAAGCTCCTGGCTCCTGGCTTCAGATCGGCACAGCTCCAGCTGTTGCAGCCATCTGGGGAGTGAACCAGCAGATGGAAGACCTCTCTCTCTCTCTGTCTCTACCTCTCTCTGTAACTCTGTCTTTCAAATAAATAAAATAAATCCTTAAAAAAAAAAAAAAGAGCTGATCCCAGTTGGTTTTTCTACTTCTCTGATGACCTTGAGAGCCGCATGTTAAAGATGGGAGAGCTACAAAATAGAAGGATCCAGAGTCCCTAATTGCTACCACTTATCAAGACATCTACTTTGGAAAACAAGAAATAAATTTGTATTGTTAAGATGCAAAGATGTTAAAGGCTTGTCTATTGTAGCAGCTGTTACCACTTTAATATAACGCTCTAGTTGCTGCTGTGCCTTACAGAATAAATGGATCCAAGCTCTAGAAAAAGAAGGAATATGTCCCCAAGGCTCAGTCCTACCTTGTGGATCCTCATCTTCTGCTCCAGGCTCAACCTTCCTCTCAAGACAATTGAAACTGGGAATGTCAGATCCTCTCAGAAGAAGGCGTGCCCCTGCCTCTGGAGGTGTGGTCAGACCCTAGGTGTGCCCCTGCCTCTGGAGGTGTGGTCAGACCCTAACACCCCTCAACTACACAAACAATAGTCTGACATCCATGCATTTCCCGAAGTCTGAGTTCTCCAGCCTTGATACCCACCGTGGCTGGCCAGGCTGGGCTCAGCCCTGCTGGTTTTCATTTGTCAACATTTCAGAAAGTCTCACCCTCTCTCACCTTATCCCCCCAAGTGGCTTTTCCATCAGCGGAGGAGGAAGAGGAGGAGAAGGAGAAGGAGAGGCAAGAGGACTGTTTGCAAAAGGACTGCTGCGCTCTCTCGCTCTCTCTCTCTCTCTCTCTCCCCCAGGCCGTGTGCGCAGAGGAGACCTCAGAAGACTTCTCCCGCATGGTCAGAGCACAGGCCAGGAAGTGTTACAATGTCTGAGCAAATTCTAAACCTGCAATCGAAGGCACAAATCCCAGACCGGACCCAGACTCACTGGCCCCGAGTCTGGTTTCCTCTCTGGGTCTCGGTTTTTGCATCTGGAGATAATTCCTATTTCTCAGGCCACAGAAGCTGGAGGTAAGAATCAGAGCAAATAACAGCCCAAAGCGGGCAGAAAGGGACGTGCCATCGCTGCTATCAGCGCTGCAGCCACTATCGCCGCCTCCGAGCCGCTGTCAGCCCCATCCCGTCACCCATGCGGCAAATACATATGGCATGTGCCGGGAATGCAAGAATAACAAGGAAGCCCCGTCCCCTGCTCTCCTAGGGCTTACATTCTAGTGAAAGAAACAAGTGCTCATCAGATAATCAAACAAATTAGTGTATAATTACAAACTGACATAAATATTCTAAAGGAAAGCAACACATTCTATGGGAGCAAATAAAGAATAAGCTGGCTTCAATGCCTCTCTAAAGACGTAACATTTGAACTGACATCTGAAGCATGAGTAGGCGCTAACCAGCAAAGAGGAGAGGGTGGGGAGGAGCACGCGGAGCAGATGGCATAACAGGTGCCAGGCTCTGCGGTGGGGGGAGAGGGACGTGAACGC